TAGATCCTAATATTTTTTCTAAATCATAATATAATCAATTTCTTTTTCTTCATAGTCTAGTATGGGATTGTCTATAGATCCTGGCCATCTCATTTCACTCATTCCAAGTATACTTATATTTAGGCGTTTCATTTTTTATGGTGTTGTGAACCTTTCCTGGTTCGTACATGCTTCTTATTAATAAATGTGGTAAATTAAATCTCTTTTAGAATTTTTCCGTCTGATTTCTTTATTATGCATTGCTGAGGCAGATAGTGGAAGCTTCTAAATAAGAGAGCTTAGCGTTCTTTTCAAAGGTAGAAGAAGCGTAGGAAGACGTAAAATCTCGTGGCTACGCAATCTCCGTGAATGGTTTGGATGCAGTTGAATTGAACTATTCAGGCGAGTAACCAATAAAATTATAATTGCCAGAATGATTTCCAATCTCCGATAGGAGTGGAACTTGAAGAAGAAGAAGCGTTCTTTTATTACTTCGTGAATGGTCCATGAATAACCAAATAAGAAAATCACAGAATAGAAACAACATTGCGCCAGTCATCAGAGAACTATGGAACTGGATGCTGGAGCACCAATTTAAAAAGGTTAAATACCTGTTAAATCAACTTCTCGACCTAAAATAGTCTCGAAAGCAAGTGCTAAAACCTCTCTACAAAAGTTAAAAACCACTTTAAATCTAAAACCCACAAGCACAATCTAATTTCTGTACATACTGTCTATCAAGCAAGTATTGTAGGTGTGTATATTGGTCTGACAATGGGCTAGATTTTAGCGATATTATGATGTTTAGACAAAGGTTGTGTATAAATGAGCGGACACTAAACTAACTAAAGTAAAAACGTTTGTTAGAATTAATATACCATTTTGTTAAATATACTAAAAAGATGTTGTATCTATCTATTAAACCGAAGAAGTTCTAAAATAATGTTAGTATTTCGTAGCAGAGAAGGGTATTTACATAAAGGAAACCTGTAACTATGTTTATACATTATTTAGCTTTATTTTTAAGGTTATCGGTTTGAAGAAGATATAAAATACTTTTTACAACTTTCATTTGAAGTAGATTTTTGAAAAACAAATTTAGAAATTGGTTGCAATCATGTTTTCCAATATATTTTTTTTAGTTACACTCTCTTATAAGTAAAGGCCAATGGTTAAAAATTAAAATACACGTAATTTTTTGACATATTTTAAAATATACTGTATATCAGTGACAAAAATCTTTCTTTTGTACATCTTAGTCAACACCTATTACCTCTCTAGTAGAATTCCTTTATTTTCTTGTATTATTTTTTTCCATGTGTTTCCCAAAGTAGGTGATGTTTAGTAATGGGATATGAGCCGCAATACATTACCTCACAGGACAGTCCTTACAGTAGAGATTCTGTCCTGTATAGAAAAATTACTTCCTCACTATGCTAGCAACGTAGATAATAGATTCATTATCTACGTGAATTATTTATTCTGCTTATAAATTTTCGACTTCTCTTGGGATTTAAGCTTGAATTTTAACTAGTTTCATTACTTTAACCACAATTTCATCGGGAAATCTTGTATTTTACAATCTTTAAACCGAAAACCTTAAAACAAATTAATCTTACGGTTGTCGGAACTCGCAAAATTTCCTGTTCTTTACTAAGAACAACAGGCACCGGTGAGACCACTCCTTCGGCAGTACAATAAATCTCTTGGACACATTTCAAGGCGGCAGCACAACCTGCTGGGGCTTGGATTTCGTCTCCGGTATCTGGTGGAGGTCTTCTAGTAGGTCCTTTGGTAGGACCTCTGGTTGGTCCTTTCGTAGGACCTCTGGTAGGCTTTTTCGTGGAAATAAAGACGTCGTTATTGTTGGCAGATTCAGCGTTCTCTTCTTTGTGATCGGGTAAACGTATTGATTCTTTGATTTTAGAATCCATGCCTTAAATAAAAACATATTTGTTCTACATTATAACTATAAGCTACATTGGTAATCATAACTATATACGAGGTAAGTACAATGTGCAAATTGTCAAGTACACAAATCTTGATATAAAGATAAGGAGATAACTGAGAATGGAAAGTACTCAGACGACCCCTATTATCCGCTCTACTATGGGTAGGTTAACATTCTGAAGGACCATTTAGAAAATATCGAAGAGCTGGGCCTTAAACATCTTTAGAAAAATATATTACTCGCGACGTCCAGATTTATCAGGAAATTTGTATGAGATATTTTAGCAATCTAGGTCATCTGGGGCTCGATACCTCGGAAAGGGTACTTAGAGTTAAACCCTTTGTATATTATTTGTATATGGGATGACTAAGTTTTTCTCTTGAGGGAATGAGAGCCAATGGTCTTAAAACTAAAGATTGTACAAAAAAGGGAGAACTAGGGAGAATAATTTTTCGTTTTGTGAAACTTGGGCTAAATAAAGATCATATTAAATAAATATGAAAAAAAATCAAAGTGAAGAGCTATTGTGATATGTTTTAAGACTATTTTATGCAAATGTTACAAATTATTTTATAATATAGTAAAAAATAAAAATGGGAAATTAAAACCAAGAAAAACTATCAAAAAATTCCCTAGCAAATTATAATAACTAGCAATAAGCTATATATTACAATAAATCATCCTTGAATATAATATAAAAAACTATGCATATTTAAAAGTTATATTCGACTCACCTTCATGTTCGGTTGTTGGTCCGGGAATATTTTCAGAGCTATCAGTGCTAGGTAGCTCAAAGGGTGGATCAGGCCTGTCATAGTGGTAACCATCGTCGGTCGTGGGAGGCCTGTAAGGTTGTTCAGTAGGATAAGATGGAATATTATGGGTGTTCGTGTCTGTAGGTTGGCCTGTAGGATTAGGATAAGTGCATTGGCCATTTGGTGATCGAGAACTACCGTTTGGACATTTTATGGCTCTACATTCACCAAAAGGCGTTCTAAATTTACCAGAAGGACAAGGTGTGGATTTGGAACGTACGCAATTCCCTTCAGCACTTTTTTCATACCCTAGAGGACAATCTACAGTAGCTTCAATTGATTCACATTTACCAAAACTAGTTTTAATGTAACCAGGAGGACAAATTAGAGACACAAGTTCACATTTTCCTAAGACATTTTTTATTTGACCTGCAGGGCATCGTGTTGGAGTGGGAAATGTTACTGATGGTGTCGGATAGACATACCCTGTAGTTTGTTGAATAGGTTCACATTTTTTTGTACTAGGAGACAATCTTGTACCGAAAGGACAATATGGACGTAGCGTGGATATTGTTGGAATAGTCGGACGAGATGTTTTTGGAATCATTTCGTATTCCTAGACCATAATTTCCTATGATATCTTCCTGTTCTACTTCACCAATCTTCGCGTTAAAATATCCCATGAAAATATTGATCTCATGTTTCTTTGTAGATCCTAATATTTTTTCTAAATCATAATATAATCAATTTCTTTTTCTTCATAGTCTAGTATGGGATTGTCTATAGATCCTGGCCATCTCATTTCACTCATTCCAAGTATACTTATATTTAGGCGTTTCATTTTTTATGGTGTTGTGAACCTTTCCTGGTTCGTACATGCTTCTTATTAATAAATGTGGTAAATTAAATCTCTTTTAGAATTTTTCCATCTGATTTCTTTATTATGCATTGCTGAGGCAGATAGTGGAAGCTTCTAAATAAGAGAGCTTAGCGTTCTTTTCAAAGGTAGAAGAAGCGTAGGAAGACGTAAAATCTCGTGGCTACGCAATCTCCGTGAATGGTTTGGATGCAGTTCAATTGAACTATTCAGGCGAGTAACCAATAAAATTATAATTGCCAGAATGATTTCCAATCTCCGATAGGAGTGGAACTTGAAGAAGAAGAAGCGTTCTTTTATTACTTCGTGAATGGTCCATGAATAACCAAATAAGAAAATCACAGAATAGAAACAACATTGCGCCAGTCATCAGAGAACTATGGAACTGGATGCTGGAGCACCAATTTAAAAAGGTTAAATACCTGTTAAATCAACTTCTCGACCTAAAATAGTCTCGAAAGCAAGTGCTAAAACCTCTCTACAAAAGTTAAAAACCACTTTAAATCTAAAACCCACAAGCACAATCTAATTTCTGTACATACTGTCTATCAAGCAAGTATTGTAGGTGTGTATATTGGTCTGACAATGGGCTAGATTTCAGCGATATTATGATGTTTAGACAAAGGTTGTGTATAAATGAGCGGACACTAAACTAACTAAAGTAAAAACGTTTGTTAGAATTAATATACCATTTTGTTAAATATACTAAAAAGATGTTGTATCTATCTATTAAACCGAAGAAGTTCTAAAATAATGTTAGTATTTCGTAGCAGAGAAGGGTATTTACATAAAGGAAACCTGTAACTATGTTTATACATTATTTAGCTTTATTTTTAAGGTTATCGGTTTGAAGAAGTTATAAAATACTTTTTACAACTTTCATTTGAAGTAGATTTTTGAAAAACAAATTTAGAAATTGGTTGCAATCATGTTTTCCAATATATTTTTTTTAGTTACACTCTCTTATAAGTAAAGGCCAATGGTTAAAAATTAAAATACACGTAATTTTTTGACATATTTTAAAATATACTGTATATCAGTGACAAAAATCTTTCTTTTGTACATCTTAGTCAACACCTATTACCTCTCTAGTAGAATTCCTTTATTTTCTTGTATTATTTTTTTCCATGTGTTTCCCAAAGTAGGTGATGTTTAGTAATGGGATATGAGCCGCAATACATTAGCTCACAGGACAGTCCTTACAGTAGAGATTCTGTCCTGTATAGAAAAATTACTTCCTCACTATGCTAGCAACGTAGATAATAGATTCATTATCTACGTGAATTATTTATTCTGCTTATAAATTTTCGACTTCTCTTGAGATTTAAGCTTTTTTTTTAGAATTTTAACTAGTTTCATTACTTTAACCACAATTTCATCGGGAAATCTTGTATTTTACAATCTTTAAACCGAAAACCTTAAAACAAATTAATCTTACGGTTGTCGGAACTCGCAAAATTTCCTGTTCTTTACTAAGAACAACAGGCACCGGTGAGACCACTCCTTCGGCAGTACAATAAATCTCTTGGACACATTTCAAGGCGGCAGCACAACCTGCTGGGGCTTGGATTTCGTCTCCGGTATCTGGTGGAGGTCTTCTAGTAGGTCCTTTGGTAGGACCTCTGGTTGGTCCTTTCGTAGGACCTCTGGTAGGCTTTTTCGTGGAAATAAAGACGTCGTTATTGTTGGCAGATTCAGCGTTCTCTTCTTTGTGATCGGGTAAACGTATTGATTCTTTGATTTTAGAATCCATGCCTTAAATAAAAACATATTTGTTCTACATTATAACTATAAGCTACATTGGTAATCATAACTATATACGAGGTAAGTACAATGTGCAAATTGTCAAGTACACAAATCTTGATATAAAGATAAGGAGACAACTGAGAATGGAAAGTACTCAGACGACCCCTATTATCCGCTCTACTATGGGTAGGTTAACATTCTGAAGGACCATTTAGAGAATATCGAAGAGCTGGACCTTAAACATCTTTAGAAAAATATATTACTCGCGACGTCCAGATTTATCAGGAAATTTGTATGAGATATTTTAGCAATCTAGGTCATCTGGGGCTCGATACCTCGGAAAGGGTACTTAGAGTTAAACCCTTTGTATATTATTTGTATATGGGATGACTGAGATATTTTGGCAATCTAGGTCATCTGGGGCTCGATACCTCGGAAAGGGTACTTAGAGTTAAACCCTTTGTATATTATTTGTATATGGGATGACTAAGTTTTTCTCTTGAGGGAATGAGAGCCACAGGTCTTAAAACTAAAGATTGTACAAAAAAGGGAGAACTAGGGAGAATAATTTTTCGTTTTGTGAAACTTGGGCTAAATAAAGATCATATTAAATAAATATGAAAAAAAAATCAAAGTGAAGAGCTATTGTGATATATTTTAAGACTATTTTATGCAAATGTTACAAATTATTTTATAATATAGTATTAAATAAAAAATTGGAAATTAAAACCAAGAAAAACTATCAAAAAATTCCCTAGCAAATTATAATAATTAGCAATAAGCTATATATTACAATAAATCATCCTTGAATATAATATAAAAAAACTATGCATATTTAAAAGGTATATTCGACTCACCTTCATGTTCGGTTGTTGGTCCGGGAATATTTTCAGAGCTATCAGTGCTAGGTAGCTCAAAGGGTGGATCAGGCCTGTCATAGTGGTAACCATCGTCGGTCGTGGGAGGCCTGTAAGGTTGTTCAGTAGGATAAGATGGAATATTATGGGTGTTCGTGTCTGTAGGTTGGCCTGTAGGATTAGGATAAGTGCATTGGCCATTTGGTGATCGAGAACTACCGTTTGGACATTTTATGTCTCTACATTCACCAAAAGGCGTTCTAAATTTACCAGAAGGACAAGGTGTGGATTTGGAACGTACGCAATTCCCTTCAGCACTTTTTTCATACCCTAGAGGACAATCTACAGTAGCTTTAATTGATTCGCATTTACCAAAACTAGTTTTAATGTAACCAGGAGGACAAATTAGAGACACAAGTTCACATTTCCCTAAGACATTTTTTATTTGACCTGCAGGGCATTGTGTTGGAGTGGGAAATGTTACTGATGGTGTCGGATAGACATACCCTGTAGTTTGTTGAATAGGTTCACATTTTTTTGTACTGGGAAACAATCTTGTCCCGAAAGGACAATATGGACGTAGCGTGGAGATTGTTGGAATAGTCGGACGAGATGTTTTTGGAATCTCGCAAGCACTACCAGACAAGGATAGAATTTGACCGGGAGGGCACGTTGTTCTTGATGTAGTTGTTGGCGGTTGGGGATATATACAAATGCCAGATTCTGATAAAACTTGTCCAGGTCTACAGGTAATTTTGGACATGGAATATTGACAAACTCCAGAAGGTGTTAAAATTTGTCCTGGACGGCAAGTAATTTGGGGTTTGGAAGTAGATGAAGAGGAATACACACAATCTCCATTATCTGATAAAAATTGACCAGGCGAACATGGTGTCTTTTTGGACGGGTATTCGCAAACTCCAGTGCTAGTTTTAATTTGACCCGGCCTGCAAGTAGGGGTTGATGTAGGTTTGTTTGGATATACACAGATCCCTGTTGGGGATAAGCTTTGTCCAGGTTTACATTTTGGGCTAGGTGTAGAGGTGGGGAATGTTATTGAAGGTGTTGGATAGATATATCCTGTAGTTTGTTGGATAGGTTCACATTTATTGGTACTTGGGGATAATCTTGTTCCAAAAGGACAATATGGACGTTGTGTTGGGACTGTTGGGTACGTGGGACGAGGAGTTTTTGGAAAGTCGCAAGCACTTCCAGATAAAGAGGGAATTTGTCCGGGAGGACAAGTAGGTCTTAGGGTTGTTGCTGGTGTTTGAGGATATATACATACGCCAGATTCTGATAAAACTTGTCCAGGCCTACAGGTGATTTTGGATTTAGAATATTGACAAACTCCAAGAGGTGTTAATATTTGCCCTGGTAGGCAAGTGATTTGGGGTTTAGGAGTAGGGGAAGAGGGATATACACAATCTCCATTATCTGATAAAAATTGGCCAGGAGAACATGGTGTCTTTTTTGACGGATATTCACAAACTCCAGTGCTAGTTTTAATTTGACCCGGCCTGCAAGTGGGGGTTGATGTAGGTTTGCTTGGATATACACAGATCCCTGTTGGGGATAAGCTTTGTCCAGGTTTACACTTTGGGCTAGGTGTGGAGGTGGGGAATGTTATTGAAGGTGTTGGATAGACATATCCTGTAGTTTGTTGGATAGGTTCACATTTATTTGTACTTGGGGATAATCTAGTTCCAAAAGGACAATAAGGACGTTGTGTTGCGACTGTTGGGTACGTGGGACGAGGAGTTTTTGGAAAGTCGCAAGCACTTCCAGATAAAGAGGGAATTTGTCCGGGAGGACAAGTAGGTCTTAGGGTTGTTGCTGGTGTTTGAGGATATATACATACGCCAGATTCTGATAAAACTTGTCCAGGCCTACAGGTGATTTTGGATTTAGAATATTGACACATTCCAAAAGGTGTTAAAATTTGTCCTGGTGGGCAAGTAATTTGAGGTTTGGGAGTAGATGAAGAGGGATATGCACAATCTCCACTATCTGATAAAAATTGGCCAGGAGAACATGGTGTCTTTTTGGAAGGGTATTCGCAAACTCCAGTGCTAGTTTTAATTTGACCCGGTCTGCAAGTGGGGTTGATGTAGGTTTGCTTGGATATACACAGATCCCTGTTGGGGATAAGCTTTGTCCAGGTTTACACTTTGGGCTAGGTGTGGAAGTGGGGAATTTTATCGAAGGTGTTGGATAGACATATCCTGTAGTTTGTTGGATAGGTTCACATTTATTTGTACTTGGGGATAATCTGGTTCCAAATGGACAATATGGACGTTGTGTTGGGACTGTTGAGTAAGTGGGACGAGGAGTTTTTGGAAATTCGCAAAAACTTCCAGATAAAGATGGGATTTGTCCGGGTGGACAAGTGGGTCTTAGAGTTGTTGCTGGTGTTTGAGGATATATACATACGCCAGATTCTGATAAAACTTGTCCAGGCCTACAGGTGATTTTGGATTTAGAATATTGACAAACTCCCGAAGGTGTTAATATTTGTCCTGGTAGGCAAGTTATTTGGGGTTTAGGAGTAGAGGAAGAGGGATATACACAATCTCCATTATCTGATAAAAATTGACCAGGAGAACAAGGTATTTTTTTGGACGGGTATTCGCAAACTCCAGTGTTAGTTTTAATTTGACCCGGCCTGCAAGTAGGGGTTGATGTAGGTTTGTTTGGATATACACAGATCCCTGTTGAGGATAAGCTTTGTCCAGGTTTACACTTTGGGCTAGGTGTGGAGGTTGGGAATGTTATTGATGGTGTTGGATACATATATCCTGTAGTATGTTGGATTGGTTCACATTTATTGGTACTTGGGGACAATCTTGTTCCAAAAGGACAATATGGACGTTGTGTTGGGACTGTTGGGTAAGTGGGACGAGGAGTTTTTGGAAATTCGCAAGAACTTCCAGATAAAGATGGGATTTGTCCGGGTGGACAAGTGGGTCTTAGAGTTGTTGATGGTGTTTGAGGATATATACATACGCCAGATTCGGATAAAACTTGTCCAGGCCTACAGGTGATTTTGGATTTAGAATATTGACAAACTCCCGAAGGTGTTAATATTTGCCCTGGTAGGCAAGTGATTTTGGGTTTAGGAGTAGAGGAAGAGCGATATACACAATCTCCATTATCTGATAAAAATTGGCCAGGAGAACATGGTGTCTTTTTGGAAGGGTATTCGCAAACTCCAGTGCTAGTTTTAATTTGACCCGGCTTGCAAGTAGGGGTTGATGTAGGTTTACTTGGATATACACAGATCCCTGTTGGGGATAAGCTTTGTCCAGGGTTACACTTTGGGCTAGGTGTGGATGTGGGGAATGTTATCGAAGGTGTTGGATAGACATATCCTGTAGTTTGTTGGATAGGTTCACATTTATTTGTACTTGGGGATAATCTGGTTCCAAATGGACAATATGGACGTTGTGTTGGGACTGTTGGGTACGTGGGGCGAGGAGTTTTTGGAAATTCGCAAGCACTTCCAGATAAAGAGGGATTTGTCCGGGTGGACAAGTGGGTCTTAGAGTTGCTGATGGTGTTTGATTATATATACATACGCCAGAGTCTGATAAAACTTGTCCAGGCCTACAGGTGATTTGAGACTTAGAATATTGACAAACTCCCGAAGGTGTTAATATTTGCCCTGGTAGGCAAGTTATTTGGGGTTTAGGAGTAGAGGAAGAGGGATATACACAATCTCCATTATCTGATAAAAATTGGCCAGGAGCACATGGTGTCTTTTTGGAAGGGTATTCGCAAACTCCAGTACTAGTTTTAATTTGACCCGGCCTGCAAGTAGGGGTTGATGTAGGTTTGTTTGGATATACACAGATCCCTGTTGGGGATAAGCTTTGTCCAGGTTTACACTTTGGGCTAGGTGTGGAGGTGGGGAATGTTATCGAAGGTGTTGGATAGACATATCCTGTAGTTTGTTGAATTGGTTCACATTTATTGGTACTTGGGGACAATCTTGTTCCAAAAGGACAATATGGACGTTGTGTTGGGACTGTTGGGTAAGTGGGACGAGGAGTTTTTGGAAATTCGCAAGAACTTCCAGATAAAGATGGGATTTGTCCGGGTGGACAAGTGGGTCTTAGAGTTGTTGCTGGTGTTTGAGGATATATACATACGCCAGATTCTGATAAAACTTGTCCAGGCCTACAGGTGATTTTGGACTTAGAATATTGACAAACTCCCGAAGGTGTTAATATTTGCCCTGGTAGGCAAGTGATTTGTGGTTTAGGAGTAGAGGAAGAGGGATATACACAATCTCCATTATCTGATAAAAATTGGCCAGGAGAACATGGTGTCTTTTTGGAAGGGTATTCGCAAACTCCAGTGCTAGTTTTAATTTGACCCGGCCTGCAAGTAGGGGTTGATGTAGGTTTGTTTGGATATACACAGATCCCTGTTGGGGATAAGCTTTGTCCAGGTTTACACTTTGGGCTAGGTGTGGAGGTGGGGAAGGTTATTGATGGTGTTGGATACATATATCCTGTAGTTTGTTGGATTGGTTCACATTTATTGGTACTTGGGGACAATCTTGTTCCAAAAGGACAATATGGACGTTGTGTTGGGACTGTTGGGTAAGTGGGACGAGGAGTTTTTGGAAATTCGCAAGAACTTCCAGATAGAGATGGGATTTGTCCGGGTGGACAAGTGGGTCTTGGAGTTGTTGCTGGTGTTTGAGGATATATACATACGCCAGATTCTGATAAAATTTGTCCAGGCCTACAGGTTATTTTGGACTTAGAGTATTGACAAATTCCCGAAGGCGTTAATATTTGCCCTGGTAGGCAAGTGATTTGGGGTTTAGAAGTAGAGGAAGAGGGATATACACAATCTCCATTATCTGATACAAATTGGCCAGGAGAACATGGTGTCTTTTTTGACGGATATTCGCAAACTCCAGTGCTAGTTTTAATTTGACCCGGCCTGCAAGTGGGGGTTGATGTAGGTTTGCTTGAATATACACAGATCCCTGTTGGGGATATACTTTGTCCAGGTTTACACTTTGGGCTAGCTGTGGAGGTGGGGAATGTTATTGATGGTGTTGGATAGATATATCCTGTAGTTTGTTGGATTGGTTCACATTTATTGCTACTTGGGGACAATCTTGTTCCAAAAGGACAATATGGACGTTGTGTTGGGACTGTTGGGTAAGTGGGACGAGGAGTTTTTGGAAATTCGCAAGAACTTCCAGATAAAGATGGGATTTGTCCGGGTGGACAAATGGGTCTTAGAGTTGTTGCTGGTGTTTGAGGATATATACATACGCCAGATTCTGATAAAACTTGTCCAGGCCTACAGGTGATTTTGGATTTAGAATATTGACAAACTCCCGAAGGTGTTAATATTTGCCCTGGTAGGCAAGTGATTTGGGGTTTAGGAGTAGAGGAAGAGGGATATACACAATCTCCATTATCTGATAAAAATTGGCCAGGAGAACATGGTGTTTTTTTGGACGGGTATTCACAAACTCCAGTGCTAGTTTTAATTTGACCCGGCCTGCAAGTAGGGGTTGATGTAGGTTTGTTTGGATATACACAGATCCCTTTTGGGGATAAGCTTTGTCCAGGTTTACACTTTGGGCTAGGTGTGGAGGTGGGGAATGTTATTGATGGTGTTGGATAGATATATCCTGTAGTTTGTTGGATTGGTTCACATTTATTGGTACTTGGGGACAATCTTGTTCCAAAAGGACAATATGGACGTTGTGTTGGGACTGTTGGGTAAGTGGGACGAGGAGTTTTTGGAAATTCGCAAGAACTTCCAGATAAAGATGGGATTTGTCCGGGTGGACAAGTGGGTCTTAGAGTTGTTGATGGTGTTTGAGGATATATACATACGCCAGATTCTGATAAAACTTGTCCAGGCCTACAGGTGATTTTGGATTTAGAATATTGACAAACTCCCGAAGGTGTTAATATTTGCCCTGGTAGGCAAGTGATTTGGGGTTTAGGAGTAGAGGTAGAGGGATATACACAATCTCCATTATCTGATAAAAATTGGCCAGGAGAACATGATGTTTTTTTGGACGGGTATTCGCAAACTCCAGTGCTAGTTTTAATTTGACCCGGCCTGCAAGTAGGGGTTGATGTAGGTTTGTTTGGATATACACAGATCCCTGTTGGGGATAAGCTTTGTCCAGGTTTACACTTTGGGCTAGGTGTGGATGTGGGGAATGTTATTGATGGTGTTGGATAGATATATCCTGTAGTTTGTTGGATTGGTTCACATTTATTGCTACTTGTGGACAATCTTGTTCCAAAAGGACAATATGGACGTTGTGTTGGGACTGTTGGGTAAGTGGGACGAGGAGTTTTTGGAAATTCGCAAGAACTTCCAGATAAAGATGGGATTTGTCCGGGTGGACAAGTGGGTCTTAGAGTTGTTGCTGGTGTTTGAGGATATATACATACGCCAGATTCTGATAAAACTTGTCCAGGCCTACAGGTGATTTTGGATTTAGAATATTGACAAACTCCCGAAGGTGTTAATATTTGCCCTGGTAGGCAAATGATTTGGGGTTTAGGAGTAGAGGAAGAGGGATATACACAATCTCCATTATCTGATAAAAATTGGCCAGGAGAACATGGTGTTTTTTTGGACGGGTATTCGCAAACTCCAGTGCTAGTTTTAATTTGACCCGGCCTGCAAGTAGGGGTTGATGTAGGTTTGTTTGGATATACACAGATCCCTGTTGGGGATAAGCTTTGTCCAGGTTTACACTTTGGGCTAGGTGTCGAGGTGGGGAATGTTATTGATGGTGTTGGATAGATATATCCTGTAGTTTGTTGGATTGGTTCACATTTATTGGTACTTGGGGACAATCTTGTTCCAAAAGGACAATATGGACGTTGTGTTGGGACTGTTGGGTAAGTGGGACGAGGAGTTTTTGGAAATTCGCAAGAACTTCCAGATAAGGATGGGATTTGTCCGGGTGGACAAGTGGGTCTTAGAGTTGTTGATGGTGTTTGAGGATATATACATACGCCAGATTCTGATAAAACTTGTCCAGGCCTACAGGTGATTTTGGATTTAGAATATTGACAAACTCCCGAAGGTGTTAATATTTGCCCTGGTAGGCAAGTGATTTGGGGTTTAGGAGTAGAGGAAGAGGGATATACACAATCTCCATTATCTGATAAAAATTGGCCAGGAGAACATGGTGTCTTTTTGGAAGGGTATTCGCAAACTCCAGTGCTAGTTTTAATTTGACCCGGCCTGCAAGTAGGGGTTGATGTAGGTTTACTTGGATATACACAGATCCCTGTTGGGGATAAGCTTTGTCCAGGGTTACACTTTGGGCTAGGTGTGGATGTGGGGAATGTTATCGAAGGTGTTGGATAGACATATCCTGTAGTTTGTTGGATAGGTTCACATTTATTTGTACTTGGGGATAATCTGGTTCCAAAAGGACAATATGGACGTTGTGTTGGGACTGTTGGGTACGTGGGGCGAGGAGTTTTTGGAAATTCGCAAGCACTTCCAGATAAGGAGGGGATTTGTCCGGGTGGACAAGTGGGTCTTAGAGTTGTTGCTGGTGTTTGAGGATATATACATACGCCAGATTCTGATAAAACTTGTCCAGGCCTACAGGTGATTTGAGACTTAGAATATTGACAAACTCCCGAAGGTGTTAATATTTGCCCTGGTAGGCAAGTGATTTGGGGTTTAGGAGTAGAGGAAGAGGGATATACACAATCTCCATTATCTGATAAAAATTGGCCAGGAGCACATGGTGTCTTTTTGGAAGGGTACTCGCAAACTCCAGTGCTAGTTTTAATTTGACCCGGCCTGCAAGTAGGGGTTGATGTAGGTTTGTTTGGATATACACAGATCCCTGTTGGGGATAAGCTTTGTCCAGGTTTACACTTTGGGCTAGGTGTCGAGGTGGGGAATGTTATTGATGGTGTTGGATAGATATATCCTGTAGTTTGTTGGATTGGTTCACATTTATTGGTACTTGGGGACAATCTTGTTCCAAAAGGACAATATGGACGTTGTGTTGGGACTGTTGGGTAAGTGGGACGAGGAGTTTTTGGAAATTCGCAAGAACTTCCAGATAAGGATGGGATTTGTCCGGGTGGACAAGTGGGTCTTAGAGTTGTTGATGGTGTTTGAGGATATATACATACGCCAGATTCTGATAAAACTTGTCCAGGCCTACAGGTGATTTTGGATTTAGAATATTGACAAACTCCTGAAGGTGTTAATATTTGCCCTGGTAGGCAAGTGATTTGGGGTTTAGGAGTAGAGGAAGAGGGATATACACAATCTCCATTATCTGATAAAAATTGGCCAGGAGAACATGGTGTCTTTTTGGAAGGGTATTCGCAAACTCCAGTGCTAGTTTTAATTTGACCCGCCCTGCAAGTAGGGGTTGATGTAGGTTTACTTGGATATACACAGATCCCTGTTGGGGATAAGCTTTGTCCAGGGTTACACTTTGGGCTAGGTGTGGATGTGGGGAATGTTATCGAAGGTGTTGGATAGACATATCCTGTAGTTTGTTGGATAGGTTCACATTTATTTGTACTTGGGGATAATCTGGTTCCAAAAGGACAATATGGACGTTGTGTTGGGACTGTTGGGTACGTGGGGCGAGGAGTTTTTGGAAATTCGCAAGCACTTCCAGATAAAGAGGGGATTTGTCCGGGTGGACAAGTGGGTCTTAGAGTTGTTGCTGGCGTTTGAGGATATATACATACGCCAGATTCTGATAAAACTTGTCCAGGCCTACAGGTGATTTGAGACTTAGAATATTGACAAACTCCCGAAGGTGTTAATATTTGCCCTGGTAGGCAAGTGATTTGGGGTTTAGGAGTAGAGGAAGAGGGATATACACAATCTCCATTATCTGATAAAAATTGGCCAGGAGCACATGGTGTCTTTTTGAAAGGGTACTCGCAAACTCCAGTGCTAGTTTTAATTTGACCCGGCCTGCAAGTAGGAGTTGATGTAGGTTTGTTGGGATATACACAGATCCCTGTTGGGGATAAGCTTTGTCCAGGTTTACACTTTGGGCTAGGTGTGGAGGTGGGGAATGTTATTGAAGGTGTTGGATAGATATATCCTGTAGTTTGTTGGATTGGTTCACATTTATTGGTACTTGGGGACAATCTTGTTCCAAAAGGACAATATGGACGTTGTGTTGGGACTGTTGGGTAAGTGGGACGAGGAGTTTTTGGAAATTCGCAAGAACTTCCAGATAAAGATGGGATTTGTCCGGGTGGACAAGTGGGTCTTAGAGTTGTTGCTGGTGTTTGAGGATATATACATACGCCAGATTCTGATAAAACTTGTCCAGGCCTACAGGTGATTTTGGATTTAGAATATTGACAAACTCCCGAAGGTGTTAATATTTGCCCTGGTAGGCAAGTGATTTGGGGTTTAGGAGTAGAGGAAGAGGGATATACACAATCTCCATTATCTGATAAAAACTGGCCAGGAGAACATGGTGTCTTTTTGGAAGGGTATTCGCAAACTCCAGTGCTAGTTTTAATTTGACCCGGCCTGCAAGTAGGGGTTGATGTAGGTTTGTTTGGATAAACACAGATCCCTGTTGGGGATAAGCTTTGTCCAGGTTTACACTTTGGGCTAGGTGTGGAGGTGGGGAATGTTATTGAAGGTGTTGGATAGATATATCCTGTAGTTTGTTGGATTGGTTCACATTTATTGGTACTTGGAGACAATCTTGTTCCAAAAGGACAATATGGACGTTGTGTTGGGACTGTTGGGTAAGTGGGACGAGGAGTTTTTGGAAATTCGCAAGAGCTTCCAGATAA